GCTAATCAGATGATCGATCATTGGCTGTGTATACTCAGGAAAGCTAGCAACATATACACTGAGGAGATTGAAGAAATACATAAAAAATACAACTCAAAATTTGTTCCATGTAAAGTTGGGGCCATATTCCTATCTACAGAAAAGAAATTGTTTTCCTAATAGTTCTGTCAAAGATTTCTATATCATTAATTTTAAAAGAAATCTTTTTTTTTCTATATTTTTTCACTAGAATAAAAAAAAAGTCCATATGATGCTTCATTTGCTTCATATACTGAACTCTGGAAACTCACAAGCATCGATCTGGAGGGTAATAGTCATCTACTTGCAACTTCCAATATTTAAGGAGAACGTGTCATTCACGAGAGAATATACTGCTATCACAATAAGACACAGTAAAACACAAATTCACCTCTAATTAAATCGATTATATCTACTGGTCAAATAGAGAGATTAGACAGCCATATTTTTCACAAGAGTGTCCTCTCTAAACAATTTTGTTGAATTCTACTATAGATTATAACAATAATTTTCAAAATAATAGAAAAAAGAACATTTTGTAATCACGTACTGCAGATTACAAATTCATATTTTCTGAAAACGCAGAGATGTATCTCAATTGCAAATTAATTAGCTAAATGCCATGCAGTAGCAGGTTTAAAAACAAAGTTGGATAATTTCTCTGCTATTAACAAAATCCCCGACACAGCTTCAAGAACTTGCAGAGTTTCAAGTTGTAGGATGTTAAGGTATGAAACACTGTCTAGGAAGTATTAAATATTTAGGAGCAATTATTATGAGCATTCAAATCCAGTTTAAAATGCATAATTGTGACGTTATAAATTATTACAATATCTTTTCTTTATTGTTATTCATTAGAATTGCAGCAGTTAAAACAGACTTGCTTCTAAAATCGTTAAAACTTTGGAATATCAGAATGCAAAGGTCCCAAATTTCTCTATTCCCTTCAAAGGACTGAATTGAGAAGGACTGGGAGAGAACAGAGTAAAAAATAATAATAAAGCCAAGACATTCCTCAATAAAAATTAAAAAAACCCTTACCACTAAGATAGATCCTTTCATGTGCATAATTTACAATACAATACAATAGCAGAGTTGGAAGGGACCTTCTAGTCCAACCCCCTGCCGAGGCAGGAAACCCTATTCCGTTTCAGACAAATGGCTATCCAACATGTTCTTAAATACTTCCAATGTTGGGGCATTCACAACTTCTGGAGGCAANTGCTAGGTTGGCAGAAACTGGGACAAGTAACAGGAGCCCACTCGGTTATGCGGCACTAGGGATTCGAACTGCTGACCTGCTTCTGATCGACAAGCTGAGTGTCTTAGCCATTGAACCACTGTGTCCCTCATAAATAAAATTAAAAATAAAATTACTGTACTTTTATTTGCTGTCTTGAATTGCTTGAAATAAGATGAAGGCTTTGTAAACTATCATTTATCAGCCACTGCCAATCACCTGAAGATAAAGAAAAACATACCTTGGTAGTATATTGGTTGCATTGCTTTTTAGCCCATCAACATCTTTTTATAAATCCTTACAGGTTCAAATTCCAACTGAAATTTGTTTCAATTTCTTTTTGCCGCTGTATTTTTAAAAGACATTCCACAAATAAAATATCCATATAAAAACCACACTACAATAGCAGGCATAAGGGACATAAAAAAGCAACTGCTATTCCATATTTTTCTGGAATTGCCATCATTCTATAACATCTCTAACTCGACTTCCACCTACTGACATTCTGACATTCCTGTGATGAATGAAGCTGAATATAGCAAACATGGCCACAGCATCAAGCTGACAGAAGGGGCAAAAAGATAAATATATTGAACCACTCTGAACTACATCTTGTGACAGTAGAAAATAAAGCAATTTACATGATTATAATTCTTGCTAAGTGAATAATACTATTTATTTGCTAAAATTATAATCATCAGCAAACAGACATGGTAACTCTACAACATGACAAACATCACCTACCAATTATGGGATCTTTTCTAAAAGGCATTTTTGAAAGTGACAACTTTTCAATCAAAGTGCAGACTAGAAAACAAGAAGGGGGAGGGGGGAAAACAATCAAAGCTCCATTCACTGAATTAAATGGCATTCACAAACCTTTTTACACGGGGTGAGGGTTCATGAAGTCATACCGTTATTACTACACAGTAAATAGCATTGTATGGCAAATTTATCAGCAGAGGGAGATATAACAGGAAAAAAATACTGCTTCAGAGGCCGGGCAATAGGAAATTGTTTTCTCATTGAAATTCTGATCCACCACCTTCAACATCAATTTGATGACCTCAAATATGCTGTTTAAATCACCCCAAAGGCAGCACAATGGCAAATTTGACTATAGAATTGTAGGCCAGCAGATCTCCAAGGCATTAGTTGGGGAGGAATACTATTTTCCATTCATACCAAGAATTATTCACTGATGGCAGGGAAGAGTTCCTGCGTACATAGAGTTCCTTTTTAATTGGAATCCCACCATATATTCCTGAACTTGCCCCTTAAAACAGTGTTCGGGGGAAGTAACTGATTTCGACATCAAACTGGCAAGAAAATTGGTTATTGCAACTATGTTATTTTCTGCTATGGATAGGAATATGAAAAAAGAAATCTGGGATTTGATCATGTTTTATTCTACATTTTCTGAATCACGAGTCAAGAAAAATATATTTTGGTACAAGAATTTTAGATTACTTTAAGAAAAAGCTATTGAAATCAAAGAAAGGTTGGCAAAATATTCAGTGAATCAGAAGACTAGCCAAGTTTATATTATATAATCTTAAAATGTAATATTTATTTCCAAATTATAATTGTAAATAGAATGCTCTATGTCAAGTAACATACCAGCTGGCCTCATTAGTTCTCCACCTAAACCTCTGGAAAAGAGAAAAAAAATACCAATTTAAGAAACAACATCACTGCCAGCATTTTGCACTGACATGACAGAAAAATGAAAATTGATACATGAATCTAAATCTGCCTGTTTTGTCAAGATTCAATACATCAAAGCTTAATAAGAAAGCTATGCATACACGGCAAATACCCCCAAATATTTCTTTGGTAACTTTACTCCTTTCTTTGCATGAGTAGTAAAACAAATCAGAATTTGAAGCTTCACTGTTGCTTCCTATTAACTGCAATCTGTGGTTAAGAGCTTACAAATATGTCGGATGTAGGAGTTTTCAAACCCAGATCTTAATTCAGATGTATCCCAAACTAAGTTTGTATGTGAATAGCAGAAAGAGGAGAAGCTAACCCTGCTGCATAGAATGGAAATAGTTCTGCAAGCCATAATTTATTACGCTAAAATTTGCATTCCAAAAAGTTATGTGATATGCAAATGTGGCTTTAGACTTATCCAACAGCCAAATTCAATTCTACCATCGTTTCATTGCATATTTATAAAAAGTCCTTTTAAAGTCAGCTTTCTGGCAACTCTTGGACTATTCTATGGAAAGCATTAGATGAAATCTGTGGTAAGTTGATCCCATAAGACTGCTATTGTATTATTTTTGATAAGCATCTTTTACTTCCTTAACAAATTCAATTTTCAATTTTAAAATATTATTTCATTATCTCTTGTTCCTATGTGAACTACCCAAATTTTTAAGTACAGTACTGTATTTCAACAACTACAAACCATGCAATATGCCAAAAGGCTTTTATTGCATTTGCATCCTCTTTTTCCTCTTACTAATATACATTCAATTTATATACATAGTATCATGTTTCAGCTTCATGCTTTTTCTCATCAGCAGTGATCCATTTAAGCTGCCAGAGAATCATATCACATTTGAAAATACCTATGACAGGGATGAAGAGAAGGATGCCATGTTAAGGCTCTGGCCATATGATACACATTTTACTCCTGAATTAGAATAGAATAGAATAAAATAGAAGAGTTGGAGGACTTCTAGTCCCAACTTCCTGCTTAGGCAGGAAACCTTACACCATTTCAGACTATACAAGGGCTTGAAAGCTNCTCCAGTCCCCTAATCATCTTTGTTGCTCTTCTCTGCACTCTTTCTAGAGTCTCCACATCTTTTCTACATCATGGCGACTAAAACTGAATGCAGTTTTAAAAAGCAATTCTAAAATAATTCGTCATTTCTTCAGAAAGGCAAGCCTGTAAGTCAATATTCCATAAGAATCGTGAGGGTTACCATCAAATCTTTGACCATCACCTTTCTCAGAGGATGGAAAGTCTTTCAGGTAATAAAAGACCCATAATTATCATCATTCTTAACTAGCTGTTTAAAAAAAAAAAAGAACTGTCTCCACCCTACTGGCATCGCCTTGTTATTCTTGAGCCATGGAAAGAAGAGTTGAGAAACTGGCTATGTGTAGGAAGAAGGTATAGGAAAGAAGGGTGGAGTACCATGGAGACGTGTTAATCCTTACAGATTAAAGGATCAGAAATATTGTAACTTAGAACCTATGTAGTAACAGAAATAAGAAAGCACACTTCAACTTTTCAATATATGAAGATACTTTCTCCCTAAAGTAGGAGTTCATATACTGTTCCACAAAGCCAGGAGGTCAGACTAAATTTATGAAGAATTGTGTCACCTAGACAGAACAGAGAGATTTTATTTCCTGGACGCCTTCTTTCTTGGACATGGGCCTTCCCACCAAACAGATGCTTTTAAATCTTTGACCAGTACCTTTCACCTTCCCATTAGTTCACTCACATGAACCAGTGGCTACTTGGATTTTGTTTCACAGGTTTGAGAATTCAAACTGATGATCAGGATACATTTTGGTTTTGGGCTGACTGGATTGGTAAGAGTATGGCTACATTGTTTCAGATTATATTAGAGTTTTGAATGTCTTCCCTAAGTCAGAAATATTATTGTATTTTCTCCCAAAAAAATTAAACTGTGGAAACAGTTAAAACTAAGAGCTGCATGCTATCTTAACCCAATATAAAAAGTGAGGAAAGCTAGATAAGGATAGATACTCATAATGAATCTTATAGGCAGATCTGACTTCTGTCTGAATACCTTAAGGATGTTAAGGACAGAACTATGTGGAAGGCTGTTCTGTGAAGTGCCATATAAACTACAGTGAAGTGCCATATAAACTACAGCTCTCCAAGCGCTACATCTCCTTAGAAATGCAGACAGATATTCCAAGGGTTTCCACATGACGTATGTAAGGTACATGCACACAAATAAACACTTCTTTTATTAATACTGCCAAAACAAAGTGTTGCTTTGAGAAGTGAGTTTTAAAGGACATTTTGGTGTCTTAAGACTAAATGGATCCTCAGGCTTTGGTTATCACAAATTTCTATGTTAACCAGAGGGAAGGACAAGAAACAATGGTTGAAAACTAAAGAGAAAAGCAACCTGAAATTAAGGAGAAACTTCTTAACAGTGAGGACAATTAACCAGTGGAACAGTTTGCCTTCAGAAATTGTGGGCACTCCATCATTGCAGGTTTTTAAGAAAAGACTAGACAGTCACTTACCTGAAATGGCATAGGTTCTCCTGTTTCAGCAGGGGTCTGGACTAGAAGACCACTAAGGTCTCTTCCAGATCTATTCTATTCTATTCCATTCCATTCCATAGATAACCTTATCATCTCACTACCATCAAATCCTGCTTCCTAGTCTTTGTTCTAAATCAAATTCTGTGAGCTCTGAAATTTCTCGTAATTAGATTGTTCTAAGAAAAATAAAAATGCCAGCATATCATAGTTCATTCAACAAAGAATATTGTAGAACCATGCTGATCTTCTCCCAGTATTATTAATATAATTACAGATAGAAGTATGAAAATAAATTTAAAAAACAGTAGTGTCATGTTGCCTCTTTGCTTTAAATTTATAGTATTTTTACCTTATATTGAGAAAACAATTAGCTCTGTTACCAACAGCAAAATAATCAGCTGTAGTCACAATGTCAATTCCATGTGGAAAAGTTCCCTATGAAAGTTAGGAGAGAAAAATAGAAATATACATATATTCTGCTTTATAAATTCAACCACAGAATGAAAATGATGATAGTAATTGTTGCAACTTAATTTCCAAAAATTACTGGTTGATAGAAGACAAGTATTAAAATTGCTACAACAAAATGCTGAAGCATATTCAGTATTCTTCAACTGCTTGGGTATAAATAAAAAGGCAGTCAAAATGACAGTTGTAAAATAGGACAATGAATATAGGTGTAAGCACGGTCTAACTCAGTTTTCAGTAATTCTTACTAAAATCTCAATAAATCAGAAGACATTTTAATGAACATTTAAAGCTAAACTTAAACAGAACATAGGGTGAGTCAAACCTCCCCATATCACACTTTCTCCTACATTTTCCTGAGGAAATTTTGAACAGAAATATTAATATTTATATTTGTATTTCCCCAAAATACAATATAACCTACTACATTTTATCAAGTTCCAGACCAGATAAAATGAGTATTTGCATTCAGTGAGAGCAAGTCTCCTTCAACCCTCATAACAAGACCAGGGAAAGGAAGGGGTAAAAGCACCAGTAAAATGTATGAATTTGGGGAGAAAGGACTGGCTATACATCTTTATTGATTTTACATAGAATTTAGAAATACTTGAAAACAATTATGAACTTTTTATAAATCTCTGCAGTCCCTGAAGAGCACTATCTAAAAAAAATGTCTTCCAAAGTAGATTGTGTATGATCCATTTATTATTCACAATGCTTACAAACTGTTCCAATTAAAGCCATCTGTATGGCATATAATTCGTTATCTCAACTTCATATTAAAAGCAAAATTATATAGATTAATATAAATATTAACCATAAGACAAATGAATATAGAAAAAATGTAAAGTACTATAAATAAAAAACAGAACTATCCAAGAAGGTAAATAAAAATACACATTGAGGTGCAAATTTTAAGAAAATCATAGCCAAAAATTAAAATAACAATTTTATAGTATGAAACACATAAAGAAAACAAATTCTATTTTATAATCAACCAAACACACCATTAGAATAAATATTCAGGTAATAACTTGGTAAACAAACAATGTGAATATCAGAACTAAGGGAAAAAGTTATCCCAAACCAAGAACAATTAAGAAGTCATATTTAATTGTATGTGTTCCTCTTTATTACAAATTATACATTGCCTCTAGAAAAGATAGACCTTGACTTACAAAATTGAGCCCAACATTTCTATTTTTAAGGGAGACATTTGTTACGTGAGTTTTGTCCCATTTTATGACCTTTCTTGCCACAGTTGTTATGTGAATCGCTGCAGTTGTTAAATGAATCTGGCTTCCCCATTGACTTTGCTTGTCAGAAGTCACAAAAGGGGATTACATGAACCTTGGGACTCTGCAATCGTTATAAATTTGAACCAACTGTCAAGAGGTTGAATTCTGATCATGTGATCAAAGGTTGCTACAAAGGTTGTAACTCTGAAAAACAGTCATAAATCACTTTTTCAGTGCCATTGTAACTTTGAACAGTCACTAAACGAACTGTTATAAGTCAAAAACTATCTGTATTGGAAACTGTATTCCTTATCTTAACTCTAACATCTTGTTAGCATCCATATGATCAAAACTTGCTTTCTGTTTTATTTATAAATAAATTTGTTATAAATAAGAGCCAAGGTGGCACAGTGGTTAAATGCAGCACTGCAGGCTACTGCTAGATCAGCAGGTCAGCGGTTCAAATCTCACCGGCTCAGGGTTGACTCAGCCTTCCATCCTTCCGAGGTGGGTAAAATGAGGACCCAGATTGTTGGGGGCAATATGCTGACTCTCTGTAAACCGCTTAGAGAGGCCTGAAAGGCCTATGAAGCGGTATATAAGTCTACTGCTATTGCTATTGCTATTAAATAACTATGTTAATGGTGTAATTTGTTTTTTCTGTAAGAGTTATTACATATATGGCACATTTAATATCATTTTTAAATGATCCAAGTATAAAATGTATTTATGACAGCAACTATGTGTCTCAAATAAATCCTTCAGAGCAAAACAGACACTTTGGATTCTAAAATGTTGCAAAACAGCATCCACTCCCTTCCATTTTGAATTACTGCAGTGTCATTTTGGACTCAAGTATGGGAGAAGGGGGAGGGAGAGAGAGATTGACTTCTATTTTTCTGTTGTAATTTGAGTCATTGTCTGTGCATCTTCTTTATACAAAAGATGTAAGTTTCAGATTTAACTACTAAAAACAAAGAAGCTTATTTTTTTTAAAAAAGCTACTCTTGCACATTCAATTCTATTCCTTATTTTCATGATATGATCCCATATCACACAACCCAAGTATTTACATTGACATAACTACTACATTTTATTTTATTTATTTTAAATTGTCTATATATCCCACAAAATTTATTCGGTTGACATAATTTGAGTAACATTTGTAAATAGGGTAAACTATCTCCACTAATAATTTCAGTCATGACTGGGTTATTATTAATGCAGCTGCATAATTTATTATTTATAAATGGCATTCATAATACAGCATATGCGTTATTCAATCATACAGGTAGTCCTCAATTTACAACCACAAATTGCTTGGGTGATGTCAGCTGGGAATGTCACAAATGGAATGTCGGAAATGAGATACTGTAACCAACATTAATGTACAAAAGTTGCCAAGTTCCTGAATCAAAGTCACATGACCACAGGAATAGTGTGACAGTTTTAAGTGTGACAGCCAGTTATAACTCAGTTGTTTTAGTGCCCTCATAACTTGTGGTTGAATTCCTTTCCTGCTCTTTTGATCCATTTATTTGTATTTTTCCTTATTTAGGTTTTTACTTTTATGGCATTCTTCTGTTAGCGCTAAAATTGCATTTGTCATCCATTTCTTCTTTATTTCTTTTTATCTGAGAATCTCTCTGTGTGTGTGTTATTAATCATTTCCCAGTTTTCCTTTGCATCATATTTGTTAGTTTTGTTAATACCTATATTTTAGTAATAAAATCCATGATAATAATTTATTCATATCAATCTACTATTTTCATTTATTTTTGTTGATTTTCAATCATATTTCAGCCATTACTAGAATCTTTATCTGTTCCTAGAAGTTTTTTCACCTTAAATCTTTTATGTTTTTGTGCATTTGCAGATGATTTTCAAGTATATAAAGTCTTAGCTGTTCATTATACCAGTATTGATAACTATATATTGCTCTTCTTCACTAATTGTACCAAGGTATTACCAGGTTTACATCTAATACATGGGCCATATTAATTTATCACATCTTCATAATTATCTTTCCCATTGAAATGGTCTATTAAGATTATTACTTCACATCATTTTACCAACTGAGGCATGCTCTCTTATGTGCTGTAAAGTCATAAATATGGATGTTAATACAGATAAGATATCTTGATAGTTATACTATTATAATATTTGGGTATAAAATTATTATTTATCCTTGAATTTTCCCAGGATCATTACTGGACCTCTAATATAATACCAATTCTAAAGTAAATTATTCCTTCAATTATTGTATCAAGTTACCAGATCTTTCCCAACATATCTCATTTATCCCTAGGATATCAATTTGTAATCTCTTCATCTCCTCCTTGGCAGAGTTCACAAGCTTTTCTATTTTGCATAAAATGTTAATGTTCTAGGCTGCAATCTTCACCAGTGATCTGAAGATTCTTCAAAACCTTTCTGTTCCCAGTGTCTCAAGTATATGTAGTAACATATACCTAAGAAATATTTCTTCAAAGAAGAGTCACTTCAATTTGGGGAAATGAATAAAAATACAAGTATACAATGGGGCATATTTTTCTTGGTAGTGGTATATATGAGGACAATTTCTAGCTGATCACAAGCTGAATGACAGTCAGCAGGATAACGTGACTACAGAAAAGATAAGCACAATTTTGGGCTATATAATTAAAATCCTGATATTTTTACCATGGCAACAATATACACATCCTGGCCAGCATTCCCTCTAAGCTGCACGCGTGAGCGGCCGCGCAGGTAACAAAGAAACACCGCGCACAAGTTTCAAAGTGCAG